TGCACATTAGGACTGCGCAAAATTTCGCTGGCTGTTTCGTTTCAACACTATTCTGACACATTTTGATCTTGAAACAGCAAAATCAAAATGAAACAAGGGGCTTCGAAACAGCCTTGAAACAAAATTAGGGCAGTCGAACCATTTTGAAAGTTCCGAAACTTTTCAACTTTTCGAAGCAGCCCAGCTGAGTTCCCCTCCCCAGTGCTAGGATCGGGCTGGGGAAGGAAACTGAGCCCAGCTGAGCTGAGTTCCCCTGCCCAGTGCTAGGGTCGGGTTGGGGAAGGGAACTGAGCCCAGCTGAGCTGAGTTCCCCTCCCCAGTGCTAGGATCGGGCTGGGGAAGGGAACTGAGCCCAGTTCCCATACCTAGCCGGATGGATTGCAGTGCTGGGGAGCGGAACTGAGCGATGGGGATCAGTTCCCTTCCCCAGCTCGATCAGCCTGGGGAAAGGAACTGAGCCGAATCGCACAGCCCCTGCAGCCCTCCCAGGGTTGCAGCCCCTGATCTGCCGGCCGGATGAGAGAAGCTGGGTGCTGATGCCTGGGACCGGCAGCAGCACCCAGCTTCCCTCCCTCATCTGTCAGGCAGGTCGGGGATCCGCAACCCCAGGAGCTCTGGCACAGCCCACACAGCCCTCCCGGGGTTGCGGCCTCTGATCTGCCTGCCGGATGAGAGAGGCTGTTTTGAGCTTCCCCATTGCGGCCTATGGGTGAAACTTGAAACAGCGTTGAAACAGCATCACTGTTTTGACAAAATGAAACGGAACACCGGTTTCAAATCGAAACGAAATTCGAAACGAAAAGCTGTTCTGTCGAAATACAAGTCAAAATGGGACAGTGCCATTGTGCACAGCCCACACGGGGGCTGCCTTGGCACTAGGTCCTGGGAGCCAGCTAAGGGTGAGGGGAGGAAGGGGAAGGCAGGGGGGGCACGTGCAGCAGATCTCACCTGGCCCCTACACTGCTTTACATGGGGCTGAGCCCTGCCCAGGGCAACCTGCACCACGCTCCCACCCATGCCTGCTGGCACGGCCCCGACCCTGACCCTAGCCAGCGCGCACCTTCTGGCAGGGTTGCAGCTGGCTGGGTGCTGTTCTGCTCCTCTTGCCTCCAGCAGGAGCTGCCTGGCTGAAGCTTCCCCCCTGCCCACCTGGAGCAGTGCAGCAGGAGTCTTGCGAGCAGAGGGCAGCTTCAGCCAGGTGCCTCTTGCTCCAGCACACAGGGCTCCAGCTCCCAGCCACCTTCCACCCTCTCTGCTCACCTGCAGGTGGCTGTTCATCATGCTGGGCAGGCAGAGCAGGTGGAAGGTGGCTGGGAGTTGGAGCCAGAGCCCTGAGCACTGAGCACTGGGGCAAGAGCCACCTGACTGACACTCCCCCCTGCTCTGAGTGGCATAACAAGGGCAGGAGCAGGAGGAGGAGCTGCTGGAGGAAAGGGGAGAAAAACAGCCCCACTGGCCTGGGCCCTGGCCAGTGTGCGCAGCTTCCAGCGGGGCTGTTCCCAGTGCGGCTGCAGCTGGCTGGGTGCTGCTCTGCTCTGCTCCCCTCGCCTCCAGCGATGGCTCCTCCTCCTGCTCCTGCCCTGTCCTGGGGGAGAGGAGGAAGCTTCAGCTGGGCAGCTCCCGCTGCAGGAGAGGGGAGAAGAACAGCACCAGGAACAGCCCTGCTGGAAGCTGTGCACTGGTCAAGGCCCGGGCCAGTGGGCGCGGGAGGGAGCGTGGTGCGATGGGGCTGAGTTGCATGTGGAGCACTGAGGGTCGGATCCAGTCGGTTGGTGGGCCAGATGTGGCCCACGAGTCATATTTTACCCACCCTCATGACAGACTAAGGCATCCCATTCAGAAATGCATCCGGTCTTCTTGAGCAGGATGTACATGAGAACATATTTTTTGAATGGTAAAGTTGATTTATGTCCCTTACTGATTGCATAGTTAAATGACAGAGCTTTTCAAATGTTACATTCAAATGTTAACCTTGCTGCAATCTTACACAAGTTCAGAAATGGCCTCTCTTAATTAAAATAACAACAGGCTTCCTAATTCAATTGTGGGTTTTTTTCTCATAGTTTTGGGGGATCTATATTTGGCTCTGTTGTATACCTGAAACAGGGCTGGGACATCACTGCTACATGTTAAGCAGTTCTGGGGAGAAGCTTTACGGCCAGTATTTATGGAGCACTTCTAATGTACCTAAGTGTGGGGAGGGTTTTACCACTGTCAATGGGATTACTGTTTAAGAGAAAGATGCATAAATGCAGCTAACTAAGTGCTTTTGATAAATGGTCTTGAGGTTGCTGATTAATTGGGACTAAAAACAGATGAGAAAATCAAACATATGTTCTTGTTCAAGTTCCCTGGAGAATATGTCTGAGAGCATGACATACATTAATAATTGCTTGGAATGGATTTAATAGCTCGTCTAGTAGTTTTGCATATAGAAAACAATTGGTCAATAAGAAGACCATGGTGTCATCTGTCTGTGTTCATTAGGCATCTCACATGCCTCCTATAATAAAAAGCAGTAATTAAGAGATGCTATATGGCTAGAGAGGAATCATTCAGATGTGGTTTTTTCCATTCTGGGATCAATAGGCAGCAGGAAGAAGAGGGCAATTCTTTTGAAAACCTTACACTTGGAGTCTACAGTCTTATTTGTGCCTCCACCCACACAGAGACACACACAGTGCTTCTGTCCCACATCTGTATAACTGCTCTGAGGCTATCAGACAGTCCTTGCAGGACAAGAATAGTAGCACTCTGCAGTTCCATGCTATAATTCTCTTCTGTTGAATTTTCCCTCTGTGTTTAATGTCAGCACAGGAAGTCTTGTAATCCCCATGCTGTTATCACACATAGCAATCAAACAGTTAAGAGACCACTGAGTGATGCCAGCTTGTGCTCACCAAGATTTGTCGGTATTCAAAAGATAATCTACCCTCTCTCAAGTTGTTAAATGGTATAAGTAGGTTCTTCCTTAAGCTCTAGGTTGGAACAAACTTTATCTCTGCTTTGTTCTGTTCTTGGATACAGCAATACCACTTTTATCCACTGCAGAGAAACTGTTCTGGATTGACACTGGTCTAACATGTTAGTGTTAGACCATGGCAGAAGCTAGCCCCGTATTTTCACAGTCAATTCTGCAATACGGTCAGCATGTTCTTGTCAGTCACTTACCTGCCTGGGTGTTCCTGAAGTACCTGGTAGACACTGATCTGGAATGTCTCATTATCAAAGCGTTCGCGGATGTAATCCTTGTATATCCTGAATTCAGCAGCAGTCACAGCTTCCCCCTCCGGGATCCTGGAGAGATCAAACCTGAACTCCCGATAGTGACAGCGCTGATGATGGAACTCTCTGTCATGCTCCACTGAAACAGAAAAACAGCCTGTTAGCACACTGGCTTTTGTTTGGCTTCTCTTGTCTAACAAATAACTCACAAGTTGCCCCAACTGAAGAGGGCACAAACATTTGATCACATCGCTGCATCCTGCTGTTCATTTCTGAAGAATTTTCATACACGTGGAATATGAAACTAGAGCATCAGACTATCCTTAAAACAATGTTAGCACCGGGTAGTGCATTCAGCACTGCTGACCATTAAATGGCTCTTGGCAAAGCTCTGCTTGACGACGGTTCCTGGACCTTTGCCGCCGGTGATGAACAAGCTGCAGTGTGAAGGATCTAAAGCAGAAGGGTGGAATTTTTCAGAAGTGCCGATTCTTGGCCTAACTCCCTCGCTCTCATTATTTCAGTGGCAGCAGCGTGAGACCAACATGGAGTGACTCTGGAAACCATGAAAAAAGGAGGCATTCCAACTCTCAAGACTTTTCGTGGGTCATGTCCTGTGCCAGGAGAATTGATTAGGGTTGCTTACAGACATTTGAAAAAAAAAAAGAAACGCACTTTACCAGAGGAAGCAGTGCATTATTTCAGCCAGCTCTGCAGCATCTGTATAGATAGGGTGATTCATGGGGCTTTTTGGTGCTTTTATCTAAAGTTTATTCAATCAGCTGTGACATAAAAGTGCCACAAAAGCCCCACTAAAGCGCCTGATTAATAGAGATGTTGGGTGAGCTGAGTCCAACGAACCCGATGCTTCTTCTGGGCATGCACTGGGCTCGGCACGGGAGTGTGCCAAATTTCAAATAAAGGACCGTTTGGTTTGGTTTGGTTTTTAACATCTGTAAGCAGCCTACAGAATCAAAGATTTGCTTCACAATGTCTGAGCTTTGACTAAAAAATAATCCTAGTACTTAGGCTATTCAATACACTTTTAAAGGGAGTGCCTTCCTGGCTTTGCAACCAGCCTGTAAAACAGTTTTGAAATGTATAAACGACTAAATTCACATTGATGTTGACAGTGAAGTGTTATAATGACAAATTAAATGTCAATGATCCGTGCTTCTCCCAATTATTTTAATATTCACCTCATTGTTTTATTGACCTCTTATAGTACACGTAATAGGTTTTAAGTTTTTGTGCATGCACGTGTATGTACACAGCACATGGAAAACAGAACAAAATTACTCTTTCAATTACAAACTGTGCAGTTCAGCATTCATCTGCACATCTAAGTGCCTTTTTTTTTTAACTGTACTGAGACTGCAAAAAGACTTGACATTGGATCAATACCTTTTTGGTATGCTGCAAATTAGCCCCATACCCACCCGGAGTGCCGCTGCAATCTCCTTCCTCTGCCCAATCCCCTGCTCTGCTTTCTGCTTCCTGCCCTGTGCTCCCTGCCTGATCTCTTGCTCTGCCTTCTGCTTCCTGCCAAATCTGCTGCTGTGCTGTGCTGCCTGTCTCTGAGCTGTCATGCACCATGCAGAAAGGCCACTCATGCCACTTATGGAACTCATACCAGGAGTTGGCCATCCCCATACTAGATAATGAAAGCAGGTGTTTTGGTTCAGAACTTAGATCTGACCTGGTGCAAAGGATAGAGGACTATGGTCCCTTTCCGTGTACAGCATGTCCTACTTCTGATGCTTACTGGATCCAAAATAGTAGTAGTAACAACAGCTGTTTACTAACAATTGTACCATGGTAATGTCTGGAGGCTCCAGCTGAGATCAGAGCCCCATCATACTATGCACTGCACATAGTAAGAGGCAATCCCTACCCCAAAGAAGGTAAATTTAAATAGACAAGGCAAATAAAGGAAAGTTGGAAAGCATTCAAAAGGACAAAGTGACTTGCCAAAGGTTACACACAGCATGTCTTTGGGAGACCTGGGATTTGAACCAGTATGTTCCCTTGATCAACCACCTCACAGCAGCTCTGCCAGACAAATTAGCTCTTGGATTTTCTCAATAAGGTATGTGGCTTCTTCTGTAGACCTGTTGTTTTCTGGCATCCATTTTCTGCTTGTGTAAATGCACTGATTTCATTCCTGATTAAGGAGAGATTCAGGCCTGAGACTGCAAAGTGCTATTTAAATGTAGCGTGCTATTTGGACCAGTGTTCATGGTCACCCATGAAGGACCAGCAGGGTTCCCCCTCATGGTAAGCTGGATCAGGGATAGCCGTGTGGAAGCAAGTCGAAGGCCCACAGTACAGTCCATTCTGTTGTACTGCTAGAGTCAGCAGCTGGCCTCACATTCTTCTTCAGCCCATTCACTGGACTATTAGCAGTTTTGTGGCTCTTTAATTATTGCTGCATGGTAGCCATTAAGGAACTTACCAGTACAGTTCATAGTAATAGCAGGGACTCCTCTTGCAACAGTTTTCTACACATCTAATCCCAGCCCCTCCAGCTGCTCTAAGACGGAGGTAATCAAGTTGAGCAAACACTTCTGCATGTTGAAAAGCTTAAGCGTATGCTAAACGGACACGATTATTGTTTAATCCTACTGCTCAAGCTGATGTAGCCATCGGTAGGTAACTTAGTCTCGCTGCATCCAAAACAGGGTGTGTTGTGAGAATTCATTAATTTCAAATTTATTAATTTTAAAGTGATTAAAAATTCCCCATGAGCGCTAGTGACGTGATGAAAAATGCTTTGACCAGTTCCTCTGAACTATTCACAGCAAAATAAAATCGACTGTAAAGCTGGCAGAGTATGATTTCAGCCCCCGAAGAATTTGTTTGCGTAAACTATAAAGGAGTATAAAAGACATGTAAGCATGGAATGGCTCATGCAATCACAACTATTAAGGCACATATGCACATGAATATAAAACATGAGGTGTTTTTAATTATAATATAGATACAGAGCAGGTACATTCTTTTTCAGAAGCCTTCCACAGACTTTTGCTTCCAAAGTGCTTATGGATGAATTTCCAAAGGGGGTGGAGGCGCCTTTTGAATCTACCTACATACTAGCCACCATCTTGGTCAGCACTCTGAAGAGTAAAACAGGAGCCCCCAGCGCTGAAAGCCTGCATCTCAGCAGCTTCAGCTATGAGGCCAAGCTTTGTATCTGATGGCCATAATACACTGATGACTTCTGAACTGAACACAGTGGGGGTGAAAGGACATAGCACACACTTTCTAGTAGGATATATCTTTCCTCCGGATGCAGGAAGCTCATCCTAAAATCTTGAGACATGCACCTGTTCAAAACCTTTCATGCCCTGCACAGTGATAGCTAATGCCTGACCATGGGTTCAAGAAAATATGAATGCTTGTGGATGCCAGCAGAGCCTACATTTTGGTGATCTCCATCGCTGAGTTCTAGGAAAATGTGACCCGTTAGGATGAAAAACGAATAGGTCAGAGCCACAAAGTTAAGATTTCCGAAACTATGAACTTTCCCAGACTTCAGGGATGTTTGGATGCAGGGTTTTGGTTTGGGTCATCCTTAGTGTTAAAGCAAACATTCCAGTAAATCTAGTCATTAAGATCACGAAAATATGTGGATATGTGACTAAAGAAAGAATCCCAAGAAACCCTCCAACTCAGTGTTTATTGTTTTTCCCATTTTTCTTTGCACTCTGGACCGATCTGCTGACCCAGAAGTAACAAATCCTTTCAGAACTAATTTATGAGAAACACTGACCCTGAACCAACATCTGTTAGGTGACTGCAGAAAATCTCATTACATAATTAAACAACAAAATCTATGCTAAAATAATGCTAAGGGTCTGACTTGAACTCATAAAAGCAAGGCACATCATAATGAAGGCTGGAGTCCTATCCTTAATTCACATTGCTGGGCTTTGGTATTTGCAAACATATGGTATGCTACATAAGATTGTATGCTTTTTGTAGACCGTTAGCACAACAGCATGAGGTAAGCAGGGGAATGCTGAATAAGTCTGAATTTCCTGATATGGAGGGGTGTTAGCCAGACCGCTGACAATACTGCAATGTGGTTGTTTCAAGTTAATGGCTGGAGCAGTGCAGCTCGGGAGTGTTTTCAAGATAAAGAAAAAACCCATGGTTGGATTGTAATTCAAAGGTGTTTGCTGAAACAGTCAAGTTAGGAGAATTGTTTGCAGCTTTCTGAGTGTGCTTAGTTTCTCTTTAGGCTCATAAAACCCCAGTGATCCCAAGTGACACAACAGACCATAATGAGAACCTCTGGGTCCCTCCAAGGGGTGCATAATCCATTATGTTTCAGTGTCTCCCTCGGCATGGCCTATACTACCTATGGATATTTCCTGAATATCGTTACCAGGGTACAGTCTTTTTCCTGAAAAACAAGAATTCAAAGTTTCAGGTCACAGGGAGTGAAAATCATTCCCTGCCTCTGGGCCATGTGTGTCAGTCCAGCTCCTACTGGATGAGTGCCCTTGCTGGAAATCTCCACAGTAATACAAAGGATGGACTTGCCAGGTTAAAACACCGTGGCAAAGCAGTGTGAGAGGGAGCTAGTACTCCCACCCTCTCTGCTGCATCTGCCCTGTGGCCAACTAGGGAAAGTTATGTCAGTACAGGACAGCACAACCACTGGAAACAAGTTACACTGCAAAAGAGAAAATATACCCTGCCCCCCTTGCAAAAGAATAGAAATGTCTGCCTCTGTTAAAGGCACAATCCAGTCAAACCTGGATCACCTAGGACAACATGCTAAAACCATTTCAATGTTTGGCAAATTGTTTACAAATTTTGTTCATGAAATGAAGGTAATTGCATGTGCAAATGACTCAGTCTTTCCTTTTGCCTGAGCAGTTACCCAGTTCATGCACGTGGCCATCTCAAGTATGCATGCAAGCAGGAATTCAGGTTAATACATGGCTCAGAGGAAACTAGACAAGTGGGCTAAAATCCCCCCAAGGCTTGCATTGAGAAGTGCCTGATCTGCATTGCATTATAGTAACACCACAAAATCATCTTCAACTAGGAAGTCCTTTCCTCAAGTAGCTGGCTGAGAAATCAGTTTGTACAGAGGTGCTCAACCCCCAGCCCACAGCCCAGCTCCGT